AATGACTTACTGTCAGTTATACTATTAACTATTATGATTAACGTAATGCAATAACTCAGTTAAAACTTATTCTTAAACTACAAAACTTTACTATAATTCATATGTTTCATATGTCTAAACTTTAATTTTTATATGATCTAGTGATTGGACTTTAATACTATGCTATATCCTATTAAGCTAATACCTCATCATTAATTCTTTATAAATCGTAGAGTAATTATTATATTTGAATAATGTAGCAAAAGGAAACAAAACAGCAAGCATAAATTACGCAACTATGAGTGTATATGTATATATTTTATCCTAACAAGTCTACTCTAAAAATCAAATAGTAGCTGTCACACTCTTGAACAAGGAAATGCAGGGCTGCCAAGATGGCGGCCATGGGCTGAAGCAGACAGAGTTTCAGTAATTAACGACAAAAGAAAATGTTCTGCCTGGCTAGGGGCAGGGCAACAAAACTATTTAGTTTCTAATTTTAGCCCTAGGGGAAACAGCTTTAGGGAACAAGAGCTGACTACCCAGTCTACCAGGAAATAGAAGTTAAAAAATATCTAGAAAGAAGTAAAACTTAGAAAGACAGAGAGAAATAATTCTGCTATGCACCTTCCATCAGGTGTATTGAGATTTACTTATAAGTTTTACTGCCATGTATGCACACTGGTCACTAATCACACGCCAATATTATAGGTATAACTGATATCCTATGTCAGAGGCGATCTTCCAGATGGGCCTTTACAGGCCTCAGCCATGTAGCTATAGATGTTGGCTCCCAACAGAGGGCACTCACCTTGTAGTGTTCTAGGAACCCTTTGGCATCAGTGTGCCAGCTAGCATTGTTGTGAGAGTCTGTTTGGCTTCAATAAATTTTTTTTTATAGATTCTTTCAACATGTTTGCCCATTTCATGATGGATGATTTATGAGCACACCTGCCCATACCTCGTTGTGTGTTCAGCAGGTTTTGACCAAAAATGGCATGACCCCTGTGCCCCACCCTCCCCATTTACTCCATCTTGCCCCGAGTGACTTTTTTTGTTTGTTTTCCAATGAAAAAAGTCCTCAAATGGACAAGCTAAAAAACTGTTTTGAGCAGTGGAAAAAGCGTCTTGACAGGTGTATTGCATCAAATGGAGAGTACCTTGAAAGTGACTGAAGTATAAACATGTAAGAATAAATACACAATTTTTTATAAATAAATTCTGGGTTTGGGTCCCCCATCATATATTCAGGTAGTAATCTCTGTCCCAGTCTCCTTGTATGCCAGATTAGATAACCGTACTTGGTGCTTTAGGTTGTTGGGAGACCAAGTGACAATTCATATAAGGGGTTAGCTCAGTGCTGGCACTCAGTAACCCTTCAGTGACTATTGACAATTATTACTATTATGATAGCAACTGTCATAACTGTTAAAGAGCTTTTAACATTGATTTCATTGGCTCAGTCTGATCTTTCTTCATCTTATTTATTTATTTTTTATTTTTTTGAGTTGGAGTCTCACTCTGTCACCCAGACTGGAGTGCGGTGGCCAGGCCTTGACCTGCTGGGCTCTGGAGATCCTTCCGCCTCAGCCTTCCAAGTAGCTGGAACTACAGGCGTGCGATACCACGCCCGGCTGATTTTTTGATGTATTGTAGAGATGAGGTCTCGCCAAGTTGCCCAGGCGGGTCTCGAACCCGTGGGCTCAGGCAATCCACTCACCTCAGCCTCCCAAAGGCATCTTATTTAAATTGATGTTATTGCTCATTGCAACAATGTGTTTCTAGGCTCAGTGTCAAGTGATCTTGAGGTCCTGAATTAGCTAACCAAAGTGAACAACGATAGCATAATTTTGCAGAACTTATTACCATCTTGTGTAGTCTACCTTTACTTAGAAGCAGCAGTTAGATAGCCTCCATAGAACTTGCATATGAGTATGGGGTAAAACACAAATTATCTAAAAAGCAGGACACAGTCACTTACATTTTAAATGAAGATTCATTTTGGTTTTGATTCACATTGGCTTGAAAATATTTGCTAACGTAATTGGTATAGACAGTTTTAGATTTTTTTTTTTCCCCCAGACCATCAGCCAGGAGAAGGTTTAGATTTTGACTTATAAGAACATAGCTTTAGCAGTTTGTTCTGTGTCTTGGGTCTCTAGAGGTTTTCTATGGCTTTTGGCACCTTAGCAGTTTATCCCCATGTAAATTCCTGAGTATTTAATTGTGTCTCCTCCTCTGTGTAGGATTTATCCTACTACTGTTGTTTGGAATTGAAAGGCAAAGAGGAAGAAATACTACAGGCGCTCTCCCAGATGTGTAGCATTGACACAGGTAAACGCTTCAAAGCTGAGTCCTATTTTAGTCTTCATGTTTTTACTTATTTCATAAGTAAGTGTCTACTGCAAGCATTTTGGAATTTAAACATATATAAAAATGTATGAAGCACTTCTTGTTCCCAATGACTATGTTAATTTAAGAAAAGTAGGGGTGACTTTTAAATCATGTCTAACATTATCAAGTGTAAAGTGAGAGATATATGTTTCTGGTGGCATGAACTTGGGTAGAAAGAAACTTGAAACTCTCACTAAATCATTCATTTAATAAATAATTATTGAGCTTATTGTGTGCCAGGCTTTGATCTAAGCAGTGCTCAGAACTACAACTTTACCCCTCATGGAGACAGACAGTAACAAATACTGTGGCTATCAGGAGATGGGACGCCAGTCTCAACACCTGGAATCATGGAAGTTTGTGTTTGTTTATGTAAGGATTGACGTTTGCAGCAGTTCACTGCTTGTCTGGAAAGCGTCAAGGGAGGCTCGTGCTCTACCGGGCGAATAAATATCCCAGGGAACTGCTTGGCCCTGTCACGTTCATCTGGAAGTCCCAGAGGACCCCTGGGGATACTCTTGGGATCAGACAGTTGTGGATCTGGCTGCATCCGACTCTTAAACAGGTATAATCCTACAATTACTTCCCTGTCATTCTGTGACTGCATTCTTATTACTGTTGGAAGGCAGTGCTGTAGGAATTTAAGTAGTATGAAAGTTTGCTTGATGCTTAGGTATTTGAATATGGGGTCAGTTGTATGAATAGTGAATGAAGCAAATTAAAAAAATTTATTTATTTAAAAATATTTACTCAACAAAATGTGACTATTTAAGATATACAATGTGATATTTGATATATGTATACATTGTGTAATGATTACCACAATAAAATTAATTAACATATCCATCACTACCCATGCACTATGTTAGATCCTCAGAACTTGGTCATCTAATAAATGAAGCAGATCTTGACCTCTCATTTTTTAGTAAATCATGAGCAGAAGTAGAGATGAAAGCCAGCCTTAGGCTACTGATTTGAAATGTGAATTTGGACTAATGCTTCCACCCTGCCTGAATTGGCTCATTTGTGTTTAAGTGCTTGTTAGAGCCTGTTTGATAATGAGAAGCTGTTTTGAGTAATTCTGATGACTTTCTACACTGCATTTAGCTTAGCTTCCCTTCTTTAACATACTCACTGCTTTTTAAAAAAAATTTGGTCAGCGTGATAATGTTGTTTTGTAATATTTGACATTTAGTTATTTTTTTGTTTAAAATGGCATACACTTTTCAGAAGAACCAAAAAAGCTTTTTGATGGTGATCAGTTTAATTTAGGAAGGGATAAAGATGTGAATTTTTTTTTTTTTTTTTTTTTTGAGTTGGAGTCTCACTCTGTCGCCCAGACTGGAGTACAGTGGCCACTCACCTGCTGGGCTCCGGCGATCCTTCTGCCTCAGCCTTCCAAGTAGCCGGAATTACAGGCATGCACTACCACGCCCGGCTGATTTTTTTTTTTTTTTGTAGAGATGAGGTCTTGCTGCCCAGGCGGGTCTCGAACCCGCGGGCTCAGGCAATCCACTCACATCAGCCTCCCAAAGGCGCGGGATTACAGGCTGAGCCACTGAGCCCAGCTCAAAATGTGAATTTTTAAAAGTATAAATAAACCGGCTGGGTGCAGTAGCTCAAGCCTATAATCCCAGCACTCTGGGAGGCCGAGGCTAGAGGATTGCCTGAGCCCAGGGGTTCACGACCAGCCTAGGCAACTTGGTGAGACCTTGTCTCTACAATAAATACAAAATTACCCGGGTGTGGTAGTGCGTGTCTGTAGTTCCATCTACTTGGAAGGCTGAGGTGAAAGGATCCCCTGAGCATAGCAAGTCAATGCTGGGGCGGCCGTGAGTGTGCCACTGCACTCCAACCTGGGCAATGGAGTGAGACTCCAACTTAAAAAACCAAAAACAAAAAAAACAACTAAACTTGTAATAATATCTTTAATTTCAAAACCTAAAAGTAAATGTTTATATTTTTAGGATATCTTAGAGGAACTGAAAGCAGTGTGCCAGTGTACAGATCCCTTCAAATCAGCTATCTGCATCCCTGACTCACTTCTGGTGTCATCCCAAGAAAAAAGCCAAACCGAACTGCCTGATGAGAAAATTGGCAAGAAAAGAAAAAGGAAAGATGATGGAGAAAATGCTAAACCAATTAAAAAAGTTATTGGTGATGGAACTAGAGACCCATGTCTACCATATTCTTGGATTTCTCCAGCCACAGGCATCATAATCAAGTATGGGCCGAACTTGCTATGAACCTACTGGGCATTTTCAGTAGAGACTGGCTTCATTTCTGTCAGTGGCACAGACGATGTATGTAAGGGAAGTTTCCATCATACAGTCTTTTTTCTTTTTCAGTGATTTGACAATGGAGATGAACAGGTTCCGCCTGATTGGTCCACTTTCCACCTCCATCCTAACGGAGGCGCTGAAAACTGCTTCTGTCCACACTGTAAGAGTAAATGTGAATGTAATGCTGTTTTCTAATCATGTTTTTCTTGACAAATTTGCAAAACCTAATATATAATTTGGTAATACTTTGGGCTGTGGCTTTTAAACATTTTAAACATCCCGGCTTATGCTTATTATCAAAGATTTTATCTTTCATTTCTATTAGAGGACTACATCTAAGTGGATATGATCAGAAGCTGACTGTTCTTACTTAAATACAGACTGTTCTTGCAGCTTTAAGTCTTGTAGAAGGGTCTTAGCTTCTGCTTCATGGGTAGGGCGTCCCTAAAATTCCTGTAATTGTGTGCCAGTTTTTGTGTGTTTGTGCTTGTTTTCTGGGGCTAGTTTTAGGGATATGTGATCCCCTAAAATGTTTAGGAGTGATGTGTCTAATTCAGCATTTCCAGTAGAACTTTCTGTGAGGATGGTGTTCCTTTGTGCTATCTAAAATGATGACCACTAGCCACATGTGACAGTTGAGCACTTGAAATGTGGCTAGAGTGACTGAATTTGTACCTTTATTTAATTTTTTTTTTGAGACAGGTTTCACTCTATTACTCAGGCTGGAATGCAGTGGTGTGATCCCGCTCACTGTAGCCTTGACCTCCTGGGCTCAAATGATCCTCCCACCTTAGCCTCCCAAGTAGCTGGCACATGCCAACGTGTCCAACTAATTTTTATTTTTATTTATTTATTTATTTTTGAGTCAGAGTCTTCCTGTGTCGCCCAAGCTGGAGTGCAGTAGCATACTCAGGGGATCAGGCAATCTTTCCTCCTCAGCCTTCCAGGTGGCTGGAACCACAGGTGTGTGCCACCATGCCTGGCTAATTTTTTGATTTATTGTAGAGATGAGGTCTCGCCAAGTTGCCCAGGCTGGTCTTGAATCTCTGGGCTCAGACAATCCTCTCACCTTGGCTTCTCAAAGTGCTGGAATTACAGGTGTGAGCCACAGCACCTGGCAATCCAACTAATTAAAATAATTTTGTTTGTAGTGATGAGGTTTCACTATGTTGTCCAGGCTGGTCTCAAACTCCTAGACTCAAGCGATTCTCCTGCTTTGGCCTCCCAAAGTGCTGGAATTACAAGCATGAGCCACCGTGCCTGGTCCTTTATTTAATTTAAATTAGCTAAAAATTAAATATGAATAGCTTTTTTGGGTAGTGGCTGCTGTGTTGGACAGTGCAGGCCCAGAGTGCAGAGACTAGGTTAGGAATTTGACACTGGCTTCAGAGACTGTTTTTCTGTCTTAGTGCAGTTCATTTTCCAGTACCTGTGCTTCTCACTGATTTGACATGGTCAAATATGATGACAGAACTGAGCAGATCCTGAGCTTTTAGAAGAAAGATGTCTTAAAAAACAGAAGCCACTTCTTTCCATCTTTGTTTCCTCCACTGTGGTCTCAACTGCTGTTGTCTCTTGCCTGGACCATGGAGGAGCTTCTTACCCTTCCTCTACAGTTCCCCTTTTCAGTAGCAGATTGATCTCATAACATTTATTCACACCCTGTTGTTTCCTGATGAAAAGTTTTTGAATAGCTTCTCATGGCATTTAAGATAAAATCCAAAGCCCTGAAGGTGACCTGTGAAATCTCACGTCTTCTTGCCTCTGAGGACTCATCTCCTCACCTTCTGCACATGAGCCACACTGGTGTGCTCTCAGGCGACCATGTCAGTTTCCGCCTCCCTCAGAGCCTTCACACCTTCTTTTTTTTCCACCAGCTGAACATTCCTCCTCCACCATCCTTTGCTTATCTGAATCTTCCTCACTCTTCAGGTTACAGTTTACATCATTCAGTCTATCCCATTTCCCTCTAGAATCCTTTCCTGATTCCCCAAGGTAAATTACATCCTTCTTGTTTTCAGACAATCTTATATATTTCCTCAGTGTATGGATTTGTATACTTATGTAATGTCTGTCTGTGGCTCTCGTTAGACTGTGAGCTTCATGAGGGCAGGAGAGGGTTGGTCTTGTTCTTTACTCTTTTCCCAGTGCTTAGCACACTGCCTGACATAGAGAATGTGCCCCATGGGAGCTAAAAAGTTGGGAAGCAAATGTCTGAACCTAGGAAGTTTGGTTCCAGAACCATAGTACTAATTACTGTATTAAATATAGTGGCAACTGGTTTTCCCCATAACACATTCATTCCCACACACGGAGGAAAAAAGGGGTGGGGGCTGATACCACAATCATAACAAAATTATTAAGAGAGATTCATTATTTGTCTGGTGAACTGGAGTTGCTATCTTGCAGGGGGAAGAGGACACAGAGAAGATACCTCACTGCTGGTGGAGTGAAGCCTGTAAGAATCCTGATAGCGTTTCCCTTCATCACAGACAACAAGCCATTTTTGAATTGTTGGGAGGTATACTGAGGGCATGCTGGGTTGTATTGGGGAGGAAAGGAGTGGGGGGGAGGAGGTTAAAAGAGCCCTTTCTTTTTTTTTCATCTGGGGTCTCACTCTGTGGCCTAGGCTTGAGTGCAGTGGCATGATCACGATGATCACAGCTCATGGCAGCCTCGACCTCCTGGGCTCAGGTGATTCTTCCACCTCAGCCTTCTGAGTTGCTGAGACTACAGGCACATGCCACCATGCCTGGCTAATTCTTTTTTTTTTTAGAATTAAGATTTTGCTGTGTTGCCCAAATCTTCCCACGTTGGCCCCCCAAAGTGCTGAAATTATAGGTGTGGGCCACTGAGGCTGGCCTGCTGCTGTTTGTTATGATACAGCAAGAGAAGCCAGTAAGAGAGGTTCCAGGATTCAATGAATACGTGTTATATTCATGTCTGGTTATAAAACAACAAACAAGATGTTCATATTCTAAATAACTGGCAGTCTGATATTATGGCTGAATACATATGCAAGGTACTGCCCCAAGATCTATGTTTCCCTACACATGACTGCATTTGTGTTCAGAGCTGCCAGCTTAGCACTGATAGAAGCATGTGTGCTTATGTCATAAAATAACCTTTTTTATGTCAAGGTTTTTTGCAAGAAATTTCACTTTTTTGTAAATGTTAATTCTCTAAAAGTATCAATGGGAAAAAAGGGAGTACATGTTTTTGAATAATTAGCCCAAGAAGAAAGTTTCATTAGAAAATTGGAAAGATTTAGCCAGACATGGTGCCTCACACCTATAGTCCCAGAAGTTTGGGAGACTGAGTTAGGAGGATAACTTAAGTCTAGGAGTTTGAGGCTGCAATGAATTACGGATATCAAAAAAAATTTTTTTTTAATCTGAAGAATTTGACAGTATAAGCAAATATATATGTATTATGAATGACTTTCTATGAACTTCTTTTTAAAATTTTTGTTCTTTTTGTTGTTTTTAAAGGAATAGCATCACCAGCAGAAATTCCGGCAGGTACTATTCTGGGACTGACAGTTGGGGATCCTCGAATAAATCTGCCTCAAAAGAAGTTCAAAGCTCTGACCAATCCAGAAAAATGCCAAGGTAAAGTTCTTGAAACACGCCAGGTTTTCCTTTTGATGTTGAGCAGTCCTGTCTAGTGAGAAGAGTTCCGTCTCTGACACTTCTATAGTAATGTCATCTGTAAACAACTAGTCTTTACCGGCCTGCTTTATAAGATGATTACAATCAAACGAGATAGTATGTGTCAAAGTATCTTTCAACTAAAACATGTAGCCTGATGCTTATGTTCATTTTGTTTTCTGAGTGTCTAGGTTTAGTCTCTGGTAAAACCTGTCTCTCTGCCAACTATGTTCTCTAAAATGCCTGGCATTTTAGAATTTTAATTGTGAGGAAGGGATCTGCACCCGAAGCTGGTCTTGTGCTCAGTGGAAGCCTCTGTCTAACCATGCAGATGATCCAGGTTCGAATCCTGGCAAGGCCATCCCAGGTGCTGGAGTCTAAGGTGTCTTGGTTTAGACTGAGTAGAGTTGCCTGAGAAAGCTGATTGACTGGAGTGGTGTAGGATGGTGGACAAAAATTGAAGTCTGATCTGGGATTTGCAGCAATTGTGGTAATGTCTCGTTCGTTATAGTTACTGTCATTTAAACACGATTAATTGGAAGAATAATTAAAATTAACTTGTGAATTTTTGGAGGAAAAAAATACAGATTTGTGTCATTACAAATTTAGAATTTTTTTGACCTCTTCACATGTAGTTAGATAACTTATTAAGAGGGTAATAAATTGCTCTGTCAGAACTTCACATGAAAGGTGGATTGGATGAGTGAGGAGTTTGAAGATATATGGGTAAGTTAGTTAATTACGGAGCCTAAGACTTTAATCAACAAGTTACTGCCTCTTTTCTTTTTGAATGCCTATATGGTCTGGTGCAACATAATAGTTGCAGTGTTTATTACACTTAAGTGTTGAGCATTGTAATCACCTTAAAGATATACTTAAGCTCTATTTAGTTTCTCTTGCTACCTGAAATTCTTTTTTGGAATGAGGCAGTTCTATATTAAATCCTTTCTGAGACTTTTATGTTAATATGAATCAGTGCAAGGAAAATTAAAGTCTATCTTGAAAAACATGATTTAATTTCTGCCATAACAGGTTACCGTCTTGTTAGTCATTGTTGTGGTAGTTTATTAAAATGTGTTTTAAGTAATTTCTTTCTTTTTTATTTTTGAGGAGGAATCTCACTATGTCACCCAGGCTGGAGAGCAGTGGCTTGATCATAACTCACGGCAGCCTCGGTCCCCTGGTCTCAGGCGTTCCTTCCACCTCAGCCTCCCAAGTAGCTAGGACTATAGGGGCACAACACTGCACCCAGCTAATTTTTTGATTTTTTTAGAGACAAGGTCTTGCTATATTGCTCAGGCTGGTCTTGAACTCCTGGGCTCAAGTGATCCTCCTACCTCGGCCTCCCAAGTGCTGGAATTATGGCTGTGAGCCACTGCACCTGGCCTTATTTTAAGTAATTTCCTTGAAGGAGTATTTTATCTGGTATGTGAGCTACAGGAAGAAATAAACTTTTTAAGGAATTAGTATTGTATCAATATTATTAACAAATGTAACATCTCATCCAGGAAGACTCAATTCAAAACTAAGGTTAGAAATATTCTTTGATGGTCTAGGTCAGTTCATAAAAGATTTCTTTGCTTCTCTAAGTAAAACTCATTAAGAAAGTTTTAATTTAACTTTGGGTGATCCTTAAATACATTTAAGAAAGGAGAAAGCAAGCCATTTCCTTCCATCTTTGTCAAAATTCTAGAGTTATAATCAGTTAAAGGGCTTTTATCTGGGTAGGAAACGGTGAATGTTTTATGTGAGTCTTGGGGGAAGGACTCAGAATCACATTCAGACTTGACAGTCAATCTAGGCACACTAATGTACACACTGACTCAGCTGGCCTTATCCTTTTTCTCTCCCTAGCGAAGGGAAGATTATTAACCTCAAAGAGCCTTCCCCTTTGCCTTCAGACAGACTCTACCTTGAGGAGTTTTTTGCTTGTTTTTCTTTTAGAGATGGGGTCTTGCTGTGTCACCCAGGATGCAGTGCAGTGGCTTGATCATAACTCACTGCAGCTTTGACCTCCTGGGCTTAAGCCATCTTCCTGCCACAGCCTCCCCAATAGCTGGGGTTACAGGCATGCACTATCACTCCCGGCTAATCTACTTTGTTTTAGATAGACTTATTTTTTAATGCAATTTAGGTTTAAGGCAAATTTGAGCATAAAGTACAGGGTTCCTGTGTACCTTCTGTCCCTTCACATGCACAGTGTCCACACACTCGATGTCCCTACCAGTGTAGTACATTAGTTACAATCCATGAACCTGCACTGACACATCATTATCACCTAAAGGCTGTAGTTTGCATTAAGGTTGACTTTGGTGTTGTACAGTTCATGGATTTTGACAAATGTATGATGACATGTATTCACCATAATAGTATCATACAGAGTAGATTCACTGTCCTAAAAATCCTCTGTGTCCTGTATGTTCATTCTTCTCCCCAACCCCTGGCAACCACTGATCTTTTTACTGTCTCCATAGTTTTACCTTTTCCAGGTTGTCACACAGTTGGAATCAAACAGTATGTAGCCTTTTCGAATTGGCTTCTTTCACTTCGTAATATGCGTTTTAAGTTTCCTCCATGTCTTTTCATGGCTCAATAGCACATTTCTTCTTAGTGCTGAATAATATTCTGTCGTCTGGACGCACTATCTACTTTGTTTTATTAATTCTTATTTTTTAGAATATTTGCAGATGAGGTAGTGCTTTCCTGTGCCTTCACACTCTAAGTATCAGCCATCTCTTTTGTCTGCAGCTCAGTCTGAATGAAATCCCAACTCTTTCATGCACATCTGTGGCAGCGCTTCTCAGGAAAGCACCCTGGGTAGGCCGAGGCTGTTGGGATTGGAGCTTGTCTGCTCCGAGACAGGCTGCAAGAGCTTGCACAGCACACGGCGCTGTTACTTGAGAATCTGTTGACTGTTATCTCCATGAGGAAGAGTTATGTACAGAAGCAGTCACGGCTTTTAAGTAGCTTTCAGCTCAGATCTTTTCATCAACATAATTTTCTGTAATTTTCTCTAACGTTGTTTTCCCCCCAAAATCTGTTACGCTGTGGCCCAGTCGCTTCCAACTTATTTTTTTCCCCAGCCATCAGGCCCACGCAGGTATGTGCCTTGGAGTAATGTTTCTGTATTGGCATTTTAGAACCATAGCCCAAACTCATGAATTGTCTAGCTTTTTAAAAAAAAATTCTTCAGTCCAATAAAATAAGATCTGAAATCATTTTTTTTCCTAGTGTTTAAACTGCATTTGTAAGTTACTTCTGTCAATATAGGTATTTATCATTGAAGAAAATGCCTTCCCCTTTCCACTAGAATACTTTCTAGCATGTGTGGTGTGTTTAAAGAGTTGAAACACTATGTTTCACAGAAAATATTATTTTAAAGAGATGAACAAATATGTTCTATAGAAAGGCATAAATAGTTCAATATCAGAGACTTGTAATATGGGGCAGAAGAAGATGATATCTGTTGGTTCATCACCATTGAGTCAGGGATGATATACAGAACCCTGAAGCCAGTAGTTAAAATATGTCTTGTGCTTTTAATATGGCATATTATTATTATTATTACTGTTTCAGAGACAGGGCTTGCTATGTTGGTTGAACTTCTGAGCTCAAGCAATCCTCTTGTTTCAGCCTCCTGAGTAGCTGGGACTACGGGCTTGTACCACTGTGCCTGGTTTCATATACCATATTATTGAGAAATTGTTTGCCTCTGCAGTAACTTCTACAGTTTGATTATCTTAAATGTGGAATTAGGCAGTTATTTAGAGGCAATTTAATATTGTGGTGTTTGCATATTATACTTGAAAGCTATCAAAGAGAACAGTTTAGGAACCTTTGCTATTTCATAGATTATGAAACCAACGATAAGAATAACTTAATTTCTTGCCAAGTAAACTCTTCTGAATAAGTTAAGTAAATACCTGTAAAATATTTTCTTGTAGCAGGTCTATTGCCAGCATTTAGGGTTCGACTTCACTGGTCTGAAGGATGTGATTTGAAGGCTGTTTCTTTTCCCTCTTAGATAAGGAGAGCATTAGACAGCTGCTCCTGGAGGGCGTGCCTGTGGAGTGTGCACATAGCTTTATCTGGAACCAGGATATCTGTAAGAGTGTCACAGAGAATAAAATCTCGGACCAGGTAACTCATAGTGTAAGGATTCTCGGTCAAGTCATGAATGGCAGGTTGCATTCATCATTTTAGAGACTATAAAAAGTTATTTCATTGTCTGTAGACTCCCAGACTTCCTTTTATTTTCAGACAACTTGTCGATCCCTTACTCATGATATATACTATGATTTTTTTCTGTTCTAAGAATAAGAGAAGGATCTTATCTATTATCTAAGGATAAGAATCTAAGAATAAGCATACATACTATGGTTTTTTTTCTGTTCTTAGAGATAAAGTAAGAATAATCTCTTAAAAAAAGTTAATACAAAGACTTATTCTTGCAATGATGATCTCATGGTTTAAGTATGTTTTTCTTTTCTTTTCTTTTTTTTTTTCTTCTCTCAAATGTTCTGTCTTTGATTTCACTGTGGTTGAGCACCCACCAGGGCTAGGCATTGTATTAGATGCTGGGATGGATGACTAGGGTATGGTCGAAGAAGTACAGGGCCCTAAAGAAGCCTGTGGAAGGCGTCCTGAGCCCAGACCAGGGGAGTGAGGCTGGCCCCCTGGATGGATGGCTGGTATTTGAGGTAGGAGTCAGGATTAACCAGACTTCTTAGGGGCAGGGTCAAGGCTGCAGTGGAGAAAAGACTGCAACAAGTGAGAACAGCAAGTGCAGGGGCCCAGACTAAAAACAAAATGACATGTTCATGAGTCTCCAAGTAGATCAGGAGCTTGGAGTTGAGGTAGGGGCAAGAGATGAAACTGAAGAGGTAAATAGGGACCAGGGCATAGAAGACCTGGAGGCATTTTAAGGAGCTGGACTGGAGGCATGAGGCACCATTGGAAGTTTTAAGGCAGGAGTGACATGATGAGATTCCATGCTGGCAGCAAGCAGTATGGAGGGTGGATTAGACTGGGGGTGTGGGTGGGGAGTGGGAGAGCTGGAGAGAGCACTGTGAGTGGCATGGCCTCAAAAAGACCCTTGAGATAATCCTGGTGTGACATGGTGGGGCCTGAAGGGTGGCAGTGTGGCTGCAGGGGCGGGGATGGGGTTTAACACATATTCCTGGAAGGGGAAATTGACAAGACTGGTGGTTGATTGGGAGATGGGAGGTCATCAGCGGGGAGGCGTGAGATTAGCTCCTCCCTTTCTGGCTTGGGTTTAGGATCTCTGCCAAAAGAGAGCCAGAACCATGTCTCCCCTTGCTCATTGCCACGTTCCCGGGTTCTAGAAAAGCACATAAGAGGTAGTTAGTAAATGTTTGAAAGGACTGAAGTGTGAGTCATGGCATTGCTCAGCTGGGTGGGGAATGCAAGAGGAGAGCAGGTACAGTGGAAAGATGATGAGCTCTGTCCTGGGTAAGCCAAGTTTATCCCCAGGCTGTGGGACTTCTCAGGAGTGAAGGCCTAGGATACGGTTTCAATTCCAGGAGGAAAAGCCAGGGCTAAAGGGATACATATTTTGGAATTACCAATACAGAGAAGGTAGCAGAGACTTGAGCAAAGGTAAAAAAGAAGAATCAGGACTTGGACATGGCTTGAAGAACATCCGAGGGTAGCAGTTAGACTACAGCATGGAGGTGGTCCCTTGTCTAGTTTTTCTAAATTGAGTGGGTAAGTTTTCTAAATTGAGTAAATTTTCTAAATGACCTACCTTTTAATTTCTTTTTACAGCTCCAAGAAAAGTCTGAAAGGATGTTGTTACTCCCTACATTTCCCCTTATAGTAATTTATAGCATTTTCTATTTTAAATCTAAAGACTTGATGAAAAATTTTCTCAAGAGTCAGAGTATTTTTTCCAGTTGCCCATCCCTGAAAAGTTGTCACTCATTTGTACCTTATATTACTTCATTACAACACATCTTTTTTAAAATTTATTTTTATTTTGTTTGTTTATTTATTTATTTGGGATAGGGTCTTTCTAGGTTGCCTAGGCTGATCTCGAACTCCTGGGCTCAAGCAATCCTCCTGCCTTGGTTTCCCAAAGTGCTAGGATTTTAGGCATTAGCCATTGTGCCTGGCCAGTAAATATTAATCAAAATAAATGTAGGGACAGAGAATCAAATGTAAGATTAATCTTGATATGAGAGATCAGCAGAATGATATATATCATTTTATAACTTTGAATCATCTAGTATATTCTAGCCCAATTTTAACAAACTTTAGATAATTTGGCATTTTCTACCAAAACACTACCATAGAGGACAATCTTTATTTATAGGAAGAGTACCTTATACTTAAAATGGCTGACATTTATTTATGAAAGTTATCTCTGACCTTTTTAAAAGAACAGTTACCTTCCTAAAACTGTTTATAGGGAGACCTGGTAGAATCTCCCAGAAGACTAGGGTTGTTTGTCTTGAATTATTTTTTTCCACTTTAGGATTTAAACCGGATGAGAAGTGAATTGCTGGTGCCTGGGTCACAGCTTATTTTAGGTCCCCATGAATCCAAGATACCTGTGCTTTTGATTCAGCAGCCAGGAAAAGTGACTGGTGAAGACCGACGGGGCTGGGGAAGTGGCTGGGATGTCCTACTCCCAAAGGGCTGGGGCATGGCTTTCTGGATTCCATTTGTAAGTTACCTTTTGATTCTGACTAACAGTTGCAACACTGCATACATTCCTAACTGCATACATTCCTAATACAAAATGAGAGCTGAAAATGTCCCAGACTTTATGTACAACTTAGACACCGGGTGGTATATTTCTGTGCTTTAGAGCTGTAATCCTGGATATAAGCTACTTCATGCATACTGTCCCTGAGGCCAGGTTCTCATGATAAGACCTATGCTGACATATTGTGAATTGTTGAGGTTTTTTTAAAGTGGCCTGATTTTTGAATAGTGGTAACAAAATGATGAAGTTTTTGACTTGACAATTTGTCATAGTTTAAAAGCAAAAGCCTTAACTTTTACAGAAGTATAAAATACATTTTTTTGCTTCTAAAATGTTGATTATAATCCTATACTTCTGTATACCAACTGCAGCTACAAATTTGATTAAAATCTAATTTTTTTAAAATGGTTATTTTAAATATTACTTTGATGCTAGAGAGTGTAAAAGGCGGGCTACCCTGTCATGCTGGTAATTAATTTTTAGCCTCTGTAGTACAAGGGGCATTCAATTAATCATTTGAGAGTGGGAATTTTAAAAAATAAATCTACTTAATTTTTTAAATTATGAAATATTTCAAGCATAAAGAAAAGTCTATATATTGACATAATCAGTGCCTATGTACTTTACCTACCATCCAGCTTAAGAAATAAAACATTACAGATTCATTGGAAGTACCTTGTGTACCATACATTCTCCAGTCTCATTTTGTTTTTTCCTTCTAAAATAATCCCTGTTCTGATTTTGATGTTTCTCACTACCATGAATATTTTATAGCTTTATTAAGTGTGTTTGTATCCCACAATAAAATTACTGTATTTGGCATGTTTTTAGACTGTGTACCTAATTGTATATGTGCTTTTGCAGCTTGCTATAGCCACTGGGCATTGAGATTTTTCCATGTAAACTGATGAAGTTTAAATCAAACTTTTACTGTTGCATGGTCACCCGCTGTATATGTTTACCCATTCTTTTGATGTGCATTTAGGTTGTTTCTCATTATTCTCACATGAACAATCAGGCAATTCCACTTCAAGTTGGGAAACTGACTGTGTCTTTTGACATTTCTTATAGATCTATCGAGGTGCAAGAGTTGGGGGATTAAAAGAGACTGTAGTACATTCTCAGTATAAAAGGTCACCCAACATCCCAGGCGATTTTCCAGACTGCCCCGCTGGGATTCTGTTTGCTGAAGAACAAGCTAAGAATCTTCTTGAAAAGTACAAAAGGTAAGAAACCGGCTTCTTGAGTTTGATAATGTTTTAGGAAGAGAAGAAAGGCCTGTTCATATTGGCCAACAATGTTTGCGATAGCTTTGGTAAGTTTTATTCTATAATGTGGAGTTTTGTAGACTTTTCCTTGAGTTCAGCATTGCTGAGAAGTAATTAAGATATTACTTAAGTCAGGAGGTTGTCTTTTATCTATCTGGCTTTTATAGGATCATTTGGATTACAAATCCTTCTGTTTGCTTCCATTAATAATGGAGTCTGTGGACATGAGTTTCAGACACTTGTTAATAGATTCCTGCCACCAGCCTTCTCCCCCTCCAAAATGGAAACTGTGTTTTAAAAAACTGATTATAGAAGTATGAAAGTGTGGCAGGCTGTGACTCATGGGCCAAATCTGGGCTGCTGGCTATTTTTGTTTGACCCATGAGCTAAGAATGCTTTTTGCATTTTTTAGTGGTTGAAAAACACAAAAGAATAATATTTTATGACAGATGAAAATTATAGAAATTCAAACTTGAGTGTCCATAAATAAATGTGTATACAATTTATTTTTATTTTTACCAGAGCCATTTGAACAGAATTATAAAATTTTAATGAAACTATGAAAATATATAGAAGATAATGTTGTATAGTCCTGCCATGTAGAGAGAGATAAGCACTATTTTTATAGTTTAGTATCTATCTATCTAGACTTTTTTTCTCTTCCTTTTTCGTTGGAGGTGTGGCCAGTGAGAGGCCTGGTTTTCTTTATATTGTGAAGTACATTTTAACATGGGGAACCTGTATTCCCTACCAAACTGTAGCTTCCAGAAGCAGAGAGACTCATCTCTCGTTTGTTTTGGCATCTGCAGTGTCTAGCCAGTGCCTGGTGCATTGGGGCCTTAGTAACTTGTGCTTGTTGTTTGATGAATTTCCTTGTCTATGAGCTTCATCTGTTCACTGCTGCAATCACAGAGACAGGCAGAGTGCCTGACCCAAACCATGTTCTGAATGGTGGATGAATGAATGAATGAATGAATGAATGAATTAGTGAATGAGTGGTGATACCTGGATTGGTAGCTTATCAGCTCTCTAAAGGCAGTGATTTTGTGTTGTACATCATTGTATCACTCATAATATGTAGTGGAGGGTCTTCTGTGTGTTGTTACTAAATAATAATTGACAATAATACTTCTCATTTTTTAAGATTTTTTATGCATGCAGATTTTCCATACAATTTTTTTTTTTTGAGTTGGAGTTTCACTCCATCACCCAGGCTGGAGTGCAGTGGCACACTCACAGCCACTCCAGTGTCGACCCGCTAGGCTCCAGCAATCCTTTCACCTCAGCCTTCCAAGTAACCAGAACTACAGGAGCATGCTACCATGCCTGGCTAATTTTTGATTTATGTCGAGACAGGTCTCACCAAGTTGCCCAGGCTGGTCTTGAACCCATGGGCTCAGGCAATCCACTCGCCTTGGCCTCCCAAAGTGCTGGGATTCCAGGCTGAGCCACCGAGTTCGGCCGATACAATTTTTTTTTAAGCAAAAGGATGGTACTGTTTTGAAATCTGCCTTTTAAACAATATATTTTGAATTCTTTTCTCATATAAAAAAAATATGACTCTAAACCAAGTATTGATAAACTTTCTTGGTAGCAGGCCAGATGATAAATATTTTTGGCTGTGTGAACCCTTTGGTCTCCGTGGCAACTACTCAACCCTGCCATTGTGGCACGAACACAGCTGCAGATGACATGTAAATGAATGAGCATGGCTGTGTTCCAATCACATTTTATTTATGGACACTCATTTGAATTTCATATAATTTTCATCTGTCATAAAATATTATTCTTTTGTGTTTTTCAAGCACTTAAAAATGTAAAAAGCATTCTTAGCTCATGGGTCATATAAAAATAACCAGCAGGCCAGATTTGGCCCATGAGTCACAGCCTGCCAGCTCTTGTTCAAAACATAACTTTGAGTGGTCACGTCGGATTGCGGTGTGGTTGCACCATAGTTTATCAGTGGCCCTTTGGTTATTGCCAGTTTTTTGTCATGTGCTTCTGTGAACACCTCTCTATGTTCATCTTTCCATATTTGTCTCGTGTTCATACGTTTAACCCATATTTATTTAGATCCTGCTGATTCTAACGGCTATTAGGCTGCCTCTGAAATATAAACACAGATTTAGATAGGTTAGGTCCTCACTCTCCTGACTGTGACTGTGAAAAAAGAGGCGAGGTGATGAGCCAGGAGTAAGGAGGGGAGAGAGGCTCTTGGAGATCTCAGGAATTGATGTCAGCAGTTTCTGGGAGAGTGGAGGCTGGAATTGACTGGTTTCTCCAGTCAGCTGTAAGAGATTTATAAGAAGTGTCAAGAGCATTCACTTAAGATTGTGTTTATACAGGAGGTGAATGGCTGAGGCATTGTTGTGGGGAATGTCGCATGACTCTGAGAGCAGGGTACTTGACGTTGAGATTTTAAGGGGGAGCAGGTGTTGGCAGTGACCAAACCTAAGGTATGACCAGGAGAGTGGGTGCTTGAGGTGGGGATGTGAGAGATAGGGCATGAGGGTGTGAAATGATGGCCCCAGGGCATTGGAAGGATGATTTGTGTAGATGCGGAGGTCACTGGGGGTGATGATGAGTCATGGCAGCGGAGGGGAAAGCAGTGTGGCATATGAACGGGGCTGCCTGGAAGTTGGTAGACAACCTGACCAAGGAGAGAGAGTCAATGGTTTATCTGACAGTGTGGGTGTGACCCAGGACCGGGCACCTGGGCCCTTGGAGGAGGAAGGAGGTGAAGAAGAATGGTCTGGACACATCAGGAGACCATCCCTGCACATCCCTGGGCCGTGAGAGAGAACCAGCCAGCTCTGGAAAGGGACTGTAGGGGAGAAAGCAATGAGCTTAGGCTAATTCTCTGTGAGTGAGGTGTCTGGCTTAAAAAAAAGGTGTTCACTTTAAGGCGTGTGATCTGCTATTGCCCAATGGCTGTTTGTACTAAATTGAGCATTCTATCTGTAGCTATAGATTTCTATTTTCCCTCACTCTGACCAACAGAGGCTATTATCAGTCTTTTATTGCCTAGACTGGTGGGAAAAAATGGGATCTTATTGTTTTAATTTCTGTTTACTAGTGACCTTGAATATTATGTGTGTGTTTTGCCATTTTGTGTCTTTTTTGTAAATTGCTCATTTCTTTCTTTTTTTTATTTTTGGAGTTGGAATGTCACTCTGTCACCCAGGCTGGAGTGCAGTGACGCCCTCACGGCCACCCCAGGGCTCTGGCGATCCTTCCGCCTCAGCCTTCCAAGTAGCTGGAACTACAGGCATGTGCTACCACGCCTGACTAATTTTTGATTTATTGTAGAGACGAGGTCTTGCCAAGTTGTCTGGGCTGGTCTCGAACCCACGGGCTCAGGCAATCCACTCGCCTCGGCCTCCCAAAGTGCTGGGATTACAGGCTGAGCCACTGAGCCCATTTATTTCTTTTGCTCCTTTTTCTATCAGAATATTTATCTGCCCCTTTATTGATTTTTTTTGGAGCGTTCTTAATGTTAATTCAACTCCTTTTATTGATTTTATAAACTTTTTTTATTTACTCTTTTTGATATACTTTGTAAATATTATTCCTTGCTTTCTTTGCCTTATAATTTTATATGTATTGGAACACTTTTTTTTTTTTTTTTTTTTTTTAAGTTGGAATCCCACTCTTGTCCACACTGGAGTGCAGTGTGGACTCTGGCGATCCTTCCGCCTCAGCCTTCCAAGTAGCTGGAACTACCACGCCCAGCTGATTTTTTTTAATTATTATTTTTTACTGTAGAGACAAGGTCTCGCCAAGTTGCCCAGGTGGGTTTCGAATCCGCAGGCTCAGGCAGTCCACTTACCTTGGCCTCCCAAAGTGCTGGGATTACAGGCAGAGCCACCGAGCCCCGCCTGAAACACATTTTTTTCTTACATGGTTTTAGGCTTTAGTGTTCTGCTTAGAAAGTCCTTTCTAGTCAGATGACACAAATATTTACCTATTTCTAAGAGGCAATGTAATGTAATGATAATGAAGTCACACTGATGAGGTTTGTATCTTAGCTCTGCCATGTATTAGCTTTGGGGCGTAGATAGGAACCCATCTCATGGTGTGGTTGTATGTATGAGGAGGACTCCATTATTGAGGGCAGTGCTAGTTGCTGAAACAAACAAACCTCAAATTTCAGTGCCTTAACACAACAAAAGTTTTCTTTCTGGACCAGGGGCTGATGCTTCAGAGATCAGGGCCCCTTCTGTCCTGGGGGTTCACTGTCTCTCCAGGGTCTCGGGGGTCTTTTGTGTACAGCTGGCAGAGGGAGGAGGAACATGGAGGAACATGGGCTGGCCCAGGATTGCCACACATGTCACTTCTACTCCTGTTCTGTCGGCCACAAGGAAGATGAGGCTGTGTAACCTAGCACTGTGCTCAGAAGAGAAAATGAATTCAGAAGTGAAATCCTAGCCAGTCTCTTTGTGCAAGGATTAAAGGAGTTAAGATTTATAAAGCACTTGGAGCAGCAGTGGCACAGGGTAATTGCTCAGTGAGTGTTAGCTATTGTTATTGTTACTGTTATTCTAGTCTTTCCTGGATTTACATTTGTGTGAAGAATGAAACTGTTTTACAAAACAGGAAGCCATTTCTGACCCCAGACTCACACTCCTACCTCTTACCATCTGTATTCTCTTACTTCATCTAATATTGCTCTATACTGGGAGCAGAGGGATGTGTGCCTAGTACAGGCTCCCTCTATCCATGACCTAATACCTGATAATTTACATATAAAACCGAGGGAGAATTTGTTTAAATCGTATTTACCTTTTTGGGGGGGATGAAGGAGCTATTTTTAAAAACCTAACCACAATTCAGATTGTGTCTTATTTCCTTAGTATCCTATTCTTGCTATTTTACTTAACTCAGACTAGGAATTGCCTTCACTTCTCTTGATTATCTTTTCTTTAAGCTTTAGAAAGTTATCATTTCAAATCCCCCTTTCCGTACTGTTTATTCCATTTGCACCTAAAAGCTCAAAGAGGTTTGTAAGAATATTGTGTCCTCCTGAACCATGTTCCAACACTACATAGTCTGTGAATTAAATGTGCTCTCTATGTGAGGGATTGAAATGGATGTACATGGTTGTCCCTTTGGGCTTTGGAAGTTCTCTGGGTGAGGTGGTACCCAGGAAGTGCTTTGTCATCTGCCTCTCTTAGGAGACCAGTACACATTTGGTTTGACCTTGAGAGTATAGGCTCAGCGTGAATCCTCAGTCAAGCCTACAAGTTCATGTCCATTTGAGGTCTTAGGACACAGCACACAGCAAGAAGTAAATGAGAGAAGGAATGTTTGGCCTTTCCTGGAGTAGACCATCACCTGAAGATTTTGTCTTGGACTGCTAGGAGTCCTCCAGGCAAGAATGGCCAAAGCCAGGCCAATCTCTACTTCTTGGGATCAGGCTTTGGTTCTCACTAACTTATAGTATTTCTCAAAGGTTCTACTTCATTTATACATCGCTAGGAAGGTCAATTAGTATCACCGTTGTGGAGGGCACTTTGGAAGTATCTGTCAAAATCAAAAAAGCTCATATTCTACCTTGGCAGTTCCACTCCCAGGTACTCATCCTCTGGATGTACTTGCACATTTGCAGCATGTTCAAGGTCATTCACTGTAGCGTTGATTGTAGAATCAAAAGGTTTGAAAGTAGTCAGTGTCCTTCAATAGAGGACTGTCTGAGTCAATTAGGATATATTCTTGTGGTAGAGTAAGATACACAAAAGAATGAGGGAGCTGTCTGTACTGGTATAAAGTGATCTCCAAGATATTTTGTTAAATGAAAATAGGGAAGTTAAGCAAAAAGTACTGTATCTAGTATGCTACCATTTGTGTAAAAATAAGAGAAATGTGTACCTATCTGCTCGTAGGTACAAAAAATGTCTCTGGGAGGATATATAAGAAACTGACAATGATATAGCATTTGTGGAGGGCAGCTGGGTCACTAGAGTGAGGGAGAAGCTTCACTGGAACCTGGAACCTTATAAGTGTGTAGGGACATGGTTGCATAGTTCCAGGGGCACCAATTACTTGTAGCTTTCAGATATGGTACTTCCTGAGGTGGTTTAGTGGCCATGTGGAGCTACACTGTAGATATGTTATCTGTTAAAGTCCAAAGGAAACAAAAGACTTGGCTAGTAAATTGGTTATTATTCTTTATCACATATTTCTTAGAAAACTTTGTGTGTATGTTTTAAATAGAGATGCATTATAATGGCCATACTTATTTTAGTTGTCCAGTCCCAAATTCTTCAACATTGGTTTTCCTCTTTGCTTTTCATTAGACGCCCTCCTGCCAAACGACCTAACTATGTGAAGCTTGGCACCCTGGCACCTTTCTGCTGTCCCTGGGAGCAGTTAACTCAAGACTGGGAGTCAAGAGTCCAGGCCCACGAAGACTCTTCTGAAGCTTCATCTCCAAATGGCAAGGAGAGTGACCTAAGAAGACATGAGGTGCCTTACACTTCCACGTCTGAGAAGACAAGTCAGCCATCTGATGAGTTGGGCACATCCAGGAATCACCCCGGGGAGCCGGAAGAAGTAATGGACACAGAATGTCAAGGCCAGGCGGGGCCTGAGAGGGTCGTGGGCCAGGAGGTCAGTGAGAACCACGTTGCTTCCACTGGCGGTCAACTCTGTGTTCTTAGGTAAGTGTAGGTGACTCCTGAGTACATTTGGATTGTATATTTTATTTTATTTTTGTAAGGCAGGGTCTCACTCTGTCACCCAGGCTGGAGTGCAGTGGCATAATCACGGCTCACTGCAGCCTTGACAACCTGGGCTCAGGCTATTCTTCTGCTTCAGCCTCCCTAGTAGCTGGGACTAAAGGTGTACACCACCACACCTGGCTAATTTTTTTATTTTGTAGATACAAGGCCTTGCTATGTTGCCTAGACTGGTCTCAAGCAGTCCTGCCATTTCAACCTTCCAAAGTACAAGGATTATGGGCGTGAGCTGCTGTGCCTGTTTATTTTAATATTGAACAGGCTACAGGATGTAAAAGTTATCACCGCTCCTTTATGCAAAACCCAAGTGAATTTATAGACTTTCTGGAAGGGAAAGCCAGTTGTTAGGTGTTTCATAGAGGACCCAGAGAAACAGCTTAATAATATTTGATTTAGGGCATGATGCTAATTGATGAGATGATTTAAAATATAGTCATCCTAAACGAAGATAGATTTTTCTAGGACATATTTCATTTAGTCTGAGCAAGCATTCTGTGTGTGTGTTTTTTTGTTTTGTTTTGTTTGTTTTTTTGAGTCAGGGTCTCACTCTGTTACCCTGGCTGGGGTGCAGCGGCACAATCATGGCTCACTGCAGCCTTGAACTTCTGGGCTCAGGTGATCCTTCTGCCTTAGCTTCCCGAGTAGCTGGGACTACAGGCATGCATCACTATGCCCAGCTAATTTTTGACTTTTGTAGAGATGAGATCTTTTATGTTGCCCAGGCTGGTCTTGAACTCCTGGACTCAAGCAATCTTTTCACCTAGGCCTCCCAAAGTGCTGGAATTATAAGTGTGTGCCACTGTACCCAGTGCTTTTAATCACTGAATTTCTTCAGTTCCTTTTGAATTATATGAATTTGAGGTGGATTAGCATGACATGCAGTATAATATCGTCCTAACCATGAAGCTACCATATAAAATGCATCTGTTCTCAATACTGCTGCATGCTAAGCTGTTTATCAGCTCCCCTGTATTCTGTGCTCTGATTCTTGGCCTCATAATTATTTTTCTGTATAGTAACCTCATAATTTCATATTGTTCTTTCTTATAAACTGTCCCTTAGAGTTTCTTTTCTCATTAAAATATTAGCTTCTCTTTGTTTTCACCCTCTCACTGTGATTACAACCCTAGATTCTTTCTCAGTCTTATTTTCTCTGCCTTCAGCTTCTTAAACTTTTAGTCCTTCACTTTCAGAATGGCAGGCATGTGAAAAAAGAAATATTACTGAAAGGTATTACAGTGCATTTTAATTTTTTAAAAGTTAATATTTTGACTTGGAGGGCTGAGTCAGAAGGATCGCCTAATCCCAGCAGGTTGAGTCTGCGGTGGCTGTGAGCGTGCCACTGCACTCCAGCCTGGGCGGCAGAGTGAGACTACAACTCAAAAAAAATTATATTTTGATACTTTCTCACAAATAGTATAAACAAATCTAACTCTAGTTTCCTTGTGTGAAATCTCAAATGTGTGTCTCTGACTTCATGTAGGAGTAGGATATTGCTGAAGCAACTGTCAGCCTGGTGTGGACCCAGTTCCGAGAACAGTCGGGCAGCCTGGCGAGCTCCCAGTAGGGGCCAGCAAGGATTGACCAGAGAGGCCTGCCTGTCCATCTTGGGCCGCTTCCCCAGGGCCCTGGTGTGGGTCAGCCTGTCCCTGCTCAGGAAAGGCAGCCCCGAGCCACACACCATGATCTGCATCCCAACCGAGGAGGACTTTCTCCAGCTCCATAAGGATCGGCACTGCTGCGGGCCCCAGGAATCCAAGCACAGCGACCTGTTCAAGAGCAAGATCCTGAAACAGAAAGAAAAGAAGAAAAAGGAGAAGAGGCAGACGCGGGGCTGTGCTGCTTCTGAGGGCCTGGCCGGGAGAGATCCCCCAGCCAGGCAGGGAGCGCTGACCCAGGGGCTGTGGTCAGGGCCTCTCCCACGTGTGACATCACACTGCTCCAGAGTGCTCCTTGGCTTCGTCACTCAGGGCGATTTCTCCATGGCCGCTGGCTGTGGGGAAGCCCTGGGGTTTGTGAGCTTGACAGGCTTGCTGAATATGCTGTGCAACCAGCCGGCAGCCCAGAGGGGCCTCGTGTTGCTGAGGCCCCCCACCTCTCTGCAGTATCGATTTGCGAGAATTGCTATTGAGGTGTGAATGTGGGCTCCATCCCAACAGGGCACAGGTAATAACTGTTTGCCAAGTCTCACAACTGGAGAGTCCCGTTTTCCTGTCTTCTGCTCTAAAATATCATGTGAAACTCCCTGGAAACAAAAATTAAAAATTATATATAATGCAAATGATGAAATGTTTGCATCATTGCAGTCGTGTCATGGATTTCCAGCTTTCCCTGTCCCTGCTGTAATACTTCAAAATTATTTGCCATGTACAACCGGAAGCTCTTGTATTATGATCTCTGGGTCTGTAATTCTTGCTGAAAATAATTAGAGGCTCTACATGTTAGGCACATCTTTTTCTGTTAGGGACAAAGGGCTGTTAGGTCTGTTTGAACAACCTGGTAGTTGAGTGATAAGCAAAAATAGACACTTAATGATTTGATTGTTAAAGAAGAAGAAATATGGGCCCCTGATGGCCCTGTTCAACCCTGCACTGTCATCTGTGTGTTGAACAACTTAAGCCACGGAGGAAGAAATCCTGGATAATTTATTGCTGCCTGTTTTCAGGCAGGTTCAGTTGATGACATAAGTGCAGGGCTGGAATTAGAAAGGGGTCCATGACTTTATGACCCCTTGACCTCTTTGTTGTTGACCAACACATGATCTTAGGAGTTACTTATATTTTTTTAAGTAAAAAGTTAATATTTTTTTGTTTCTGTAAAGGATTTCTCAAAGCCGTAGAAGAACATTTCTCAAAATAGGTTCTACCAAATGTGTTGCCTAATGCAAATGATGAAATGTTTGCATCATTCCAGTCATGTCGAGAGATTCCAAGGTCAAGTTGGTTTGGGAAACTGTGGGTTAAACCAAGTTAAGCATTTCTTTATTAAAGGACTTCTGGAACCTTCCGTGTGAAAATGTGCATTGTGAACCTCCAGGAAGTAGATAATAGTGTGGAGTATTTTCTAAATCCTTTTGATCCCTGAGCTCCTTTTACAAGGAGCAGCTTATAGGACCAGTCCTAGACGCACGCTTCAGGCAGTGTGACTGATCAGAGCATAGCTACCTCTGAAAGGTGATCACTAAAACCACAGGCTGCTTTTCAGCACTTATGCGGTTGCATTGTCCACCTGAGATTTGAGCAAGTTATAAAAGAAAGGGCTCATCCTGTCCCATAGGAAGAGAGGGCCTTTTTCCACCTGGGACTCATCAACTTTTTGTTGCCATGTATGTCTCATGTGTACCCTTGGTCTTTACTCTCCTGGTGTAAATTTCTAGTAGATCTTTTTTGTCATGTAAATGTGTGGTTAGGCATCATTTCATGTAAATGTGGTGGGTTTTTGCAGTAGCATTTGGCAATAAATGTCTTTGAGGGTGATGAGCTGGGGCAAGAGACAGGTATTGCAGTGGTTGGAAGGTACCTCGAGCCGATGAGGTGTCTGATGTGCTTGCTCACCTTGCTTTGGATGTCTCTGGTCCATTCCAAATGAGACCGAAAACAGTGTAACTAACAGGCATCTGTCAACAAAATAAATGAAAATGTCACCCAGTGTCAGCTGTGGGTACTTATTGGACCTTTCCTAATTTGTTTTCTAGGCTCTAAGTTGCTTCCTCTGGGGCCGAGCTCGCTTGATGACAGAAGTTGAGCATGGTCAGCTAACTTCATCCTGCACAGTACCCTGCTTGGGACTTGCCATCCTGTTCCTGACTAGGGACAGGGCACATTTGCAACCACTCTGCTTTGCAGGTGGTATATACCCAAGAGCTGTGCACCAAAAAGATAGACTAGAACTTCCCAAAATGCACTCCTGGGAGTACCAGTCCCTGCAGCTGTTCCTAGAAAAAAAAGTGTTTTATGGCTAAAGACATTTGGAAAAAGCTATATACGGTAACCTCCTGTTGCAAGTTCACAATGAATAATTGCACCAGCAAGGCTTTGCAGATCTCTTTTTTTCCTGAGTCAGTCTCACTTTGTCGCCCATTCTGGAGTGCAGTAGCAGGCTCACAGCCACCCCAGCATCAACCTGCTGGGCTCCAGCCATCCTTCTGCCTCAGCCTTACAAGAAGCCAGAACTACAGGCACGCACAACCATTTTTGATTTATTGTAAAGATGAGGTCTCATCAAGTTTCCCGGGTTGGTCTCGAACCCATGGACTCAGGCAATCCCACCTCGGCCTCCCAAAGTGCTGGGATTACAGGCTGAGCCACCAAGCCCAGCCTGCAGATCTCTTTAGGAAAGAAATCTATCTCTCAGATGCCCCCCCCACTTTTTTTGATTTTGCATACGTGTTGTCTGGAGAACACTAGTTTCACAGAATACGCTTTGAAAATCTGACAGAATCGGCACAGAGACAGTAAAGAATCCATGTCCCTTATGAAAAAGACCCAGAGAGGAATGGCTTTACTTTCTGAGGTGATGAAACCGATTAGCATTTCTTTTGATCCCACCAGGTGCCTGCCATGCTGTGCTAAAGCCACAGAGCTACCAAGGATGTACCATATGGCCCTGGCTTGCTGAGGGGGCAGTGATTTTAGGGTTCACAAAGTAAGCATCCCAAAAGGCAGAGTTGTGAGCTGAGTACACAGAGACCAGCTACACACTTGAGGTGTGTAAGAAACAGGATCAATTCTTTTTGTGTGATCATGTGTTTAGTAATGCTGCTAATTTCCATCACCCACATTCATCAAAGAAAATCGAGAAAATGGAGCTAAGCAATAACCATCACAAAATTCACATCACCTGAATTTTTACCACACAGGCGAAGCCAGTGTTATCTTCTGGTACATATCCTTCTAGGCATTAAGTCCCACTTGGATGTTTCACAGTACAGCTTCACAGGCCTTGTGAGCTCATGTTGCAGAAATGCCACTTTATTTTTTTTAAGTTGGGGTCTTACTCTGTCTCCCAGACTGGATTCCAGTGGCACTATCATGGCTCACCGCAGCCTCGACCTCCTGGGCTCAGAAGTTCCTTCCCCCTCAGCCTCCTGAGTAGCTAGGACTATAGTCATGTACCACCACGCCCAGCTAATTTTTGAAATTTTTGTAGAAACAAGGTCTCACCATGTTGTCTAGGCTGGTCTCGAACTCCTGGGCTCAAGTTATCCTCTCGCCTCAGCCTCCCAACGTGCTATGATTACAGGCATGAGCCACCATGCCTGACCAGAAGTGCCGCTTAAGAAAAAGTGTTAGTAATTACTTATCTAAAAATTGACAACATACAAGTGCAGCTGAAGTGCATGTTGCCAGTTCCTTACAGAGCCTGATTGGCAGGACCCCTAAGGTTACTATTCCTTTCATGGGAAACAGGAAGTTAGTAGGTAATGGCCTGTCATGTACTCAACGTAGCATTGCTCTGTTGGCAGCCACAGGCCTGACGTGAGTTTTTTCTTCCCAGCCAGTGGGAAGTGAGGGGATCAGTTGACAGGCTGTCTGGACTCCCTACTCGTGACCAGCTGACCTGGAGCACAGAGCCAGGTTCAGAACTGGGCTGCTTAGTAGATAACACAAAAGCTGTAGCAGTGGCGGGTCACTCCATCAGCAGTCCCGATTACCCAGCAATTCGGTTTACCACAGACCTCCCCCTACCCCGAACATGGAGGAACACAGGTGCCATCTTTTCTTTGGCAACAGTGACTTCTCATCTTGGCTGCCCATTGAAATCGCCTGATGGGACAAGCCACAGCCCAGAAATCAATCTCGGGTTGGGCCCAAGTATCAGTACTTCTTAAGAGCTCCCCAGGTCCTGATGACAGAAAACTCAGGCTGAGAGCCACTGCTTTTGGAGGTCTGGCTCTTGGGACCCTCTGCCCTTTGGGGAAGTGTCCATGAGTAGGAGGCTGTGGAAACCCTAGAATGCCCACGCCTTTAGCAGGCCTGTTTGCCACGTGGAAAAAATGGATTTCTGCAACATCAGCTCACAGGCTTAGTTGCCTGCATCGTGAAGTGTCCAGGTGGGACTTAATGAACGTAGTGTGGAGGGCTGGGTGGTCCAGAGCAGGAGTTTCCATCTGGGGAAGAGGCCTGGTTTTGAAAAAGAAAACAGCCTGGCTCGTTTCTTGTGTAACGCTCACTCCTTGAGGGGTGTCAGATGAGGTTTCCTTTTTTGTTTTTTTCTTGGTGAGTATCCTTCCAGATCAGCTGTTCTCAACCTTGGCTGCACAAAACACCTGGGGATATTTCAAAGCACTGGTGCCAGGGGGCCCACCCCTGGGGATGCAGATTTAACAGGTCAAAGGTGTGATCTGGATGTTGAGATTTTTAAGCACCCCCAGGTGACTTGCAGCCAAAGTTGAGAACCACTGTTCCAGACTTTTAAAATGAGGTTCCAATGTAATTAGCCAAAGATATTGCTTCTCGGCCATGGGGAACTTGCAGGGTGGGACAGCAGATACAGGCTAGCTTGAGGGTCACACAGGCTGTTATTGATGGCCCTGGGGAGGGGGGCTGCTGGAGCCGGGCAAATGGCCAAGTTCATGTCAAGGCATTTCCCCTCAGCCTTCTTTTTGAACATTTAAATTTAACCAGATACGGTTCTGGAAGAATCCACCCTAACTATCTGTGTGCTTTCACTTAAGGAAAGGTTTTTGTTTGTTTATTTTTGAGACAAGGTCTCTGTTGCCCAGGCTGGAGTGCCGTGACATGATCATGGCTCACTGCAACCTCAAGCTGCTGTGGACTCCTCGAATTCAAGTGATCCTCCCGATTCAACCTCCTCAGTAGCTATCACGACAGGTACATGCCACCATGCCTAGCTAATTTTTAAAGGATTTTTTTTTTTAGAGACAGAGTCTCGCTGCCCAAGCTGGTCTCAAACTCCTGGCTTCAAGCGATCTTCCCACCTAGGTCCTCCAAAGTGCTGGGATTACAGGCATGAGCCACCGCTCCCGGCTGTGGAAATATTTGCAAATATGGAACTTTCCTGGCTTCTCTCTCCAGTCTCATTTTGTCCCTGGGGCTCTGAACACACTGGTCTTCCAGTTCCTTGAACAGTCAGCTCTCGGCCCCTCTATGATTTTGCATGAACTGTGCTCTGCCTTCGAGAATTTTCTCACCCATTCTCATCCCTTCCTTCTGAGCTTGATGTTTGTTTCTTGGAGAGGCCTTCTCCACCTACCCTATTTAAAATAGCCTCCTCCTGCTTTTGTTATTTTCTTTTTCTTTTTTTTCTTTTTTGAGTCAGAGT